GGCAGTGTGGGGGCAGCGTGGGGGGTGGGGACAGTGTGGTGTGTGCATGTGGTGGGTGTGCAGTGTCGTGGTGCCTGAGGAGCCTCGCTAAACCCTGCAGCAGAGCTAACACAACTCTGAGGCTGGTTGCTGGTGAGGGTCTTGGTGCCCCGGGGGGCAGCAGGAGGGCCCCGACAGAACTCAGGACCACCCCGTGCCACGGCTCCTCGTGAGCAGCACCACAATCTGCTTCCTCCCCGTCCCTGAGCCGCCGCCACCGGGTCAGGAGCTGCCCGCCCAGCCCGGGAGGCTGCAGGTCTGCCCGCAGCTCGCACCCGCGTGCCATCGTGGCTGGAACGGGCTTCACCAGCAGCCTCAACCACGGAACGAGTGCGGCCCCGTCCCAACTTGGCGCACTCGGTGCCTTGTATCTGACCAGCTATTGGCTTCCTGCTTCTCTTTTAAAATCACATAAGTCCTCTCTGAAATCAATAAAAATAATATTTTAAAAAAATCACAATTTCAGCTTCCATCGTAGTAAGAAGAGAACCCTGTACACACTCCCCGGGACCCCCAGGAGCTGACTCATCCTCGAGGATCACAGCACGGATCACAGCACCGTGACTTGCAGAGGGAGCGACCGGATCTGATGATGGAGAGACCTTCGGAGGGACCGCAGGCGGCGACCTTGGAAGCTACTCTTCCATTCCGTGCGCCGAGACCCCGCGGCTGGTGGAACCTCCGACAGGGTTTCCGTTTGGCTCGAGTCAGTTCCGTCCTTCACAAATCTGTGCACCTAACTGCCCCCCCCCCCTAATGAAACGAGGGGTCGTGTCTCCAGGTTCTGCCCTGTGCCAGCCTGTGTGTCCGTCTGAAAGGGAGGCCACTGGACTGGCACCTCAGACCAAGAAGTGGGGGGCTGGGGTCTCCAGGAGCCTGGATGAACCCCCAACAGAACGGACCACGATTTCCCGTGAAGGCGCCTTGAGCCCGGATTCTCGGGTCAGGTAGGCGGACCCGCCATCGGCAAGGACCCAGGGTTACACCCGCTCGCTGCGGCCGGCACGCACCCGTGGGCGTCCGGGCCGTGAACTCGGGGTCGAAGTGGAAGGTGTCCTCGGGCCGGCCCACCGCGGGCTTGAAGGGCGGCTTGATGTCCTTCCGGTACAGCTTCTGCGGGAAAGCGAGATGGTGAGCAGAGGGGTCGTGTCTCCAGGTTCTGCCCTGTGCCAGCCTGTGTGTCCGTCTGAAAGGGAGGCCACTGGACTGGCACCTCAGACCAAGAAGTGGGGGGCTGGGGTCTCCAGGAGCCTGGATGAACCCCCAACAGAACGGACCACGATTTCCCGTGAAGGCGCCTTGAGCCCGGATTCTCGGGTCAGGTAGGCGGACCCGCCATCGGCAAGGACCCAGGGTTACACCCGCTCGCTGCGGCCGGCACGCACCCGTGGGCGTCCGGGCCGTGAACTCGGGGTCGAAGTGGAAGGTGTCCTCAGGCCG